TATATATATATATATAATGTTTTCATTAATTCCATACCCGTTCTGGTCACCTCTGCCATCTGATGGACAACACGATACCAGCCACCCCTGGAGTCGTTCCAGCCTCCACACACATCCCACTTCCCTCAGCCTCCATCAATTAACCCAAGTGGACCACACCCCACATGGACCTACCATTTTTATGATAAGTCATCCTTTGGTGGTAGAGCTTCCATTCTAATTTTTTCTGCTAGTTTTAATAAAGCCCATATAAAAGTTTTAAGTGGTGTGTTGGTTTCACTTGGATACAGGTGAGGGTGAGTCACTGGTGTGGGACAGAAGACCCATATATTACAGCGGCCCTTGCAGGGGTAGCACTACACCTTTAAATATAAGATTATTTCATTGTATACACTGTAATAGCTACTTGGACAATTTGTATAGTTAGTGTATGGGGAAGAAGAACCTAAACATAAAATGTTGGGGCAACACCACAGGTCTTTTTGAAGGTTTTCACAGTTACAAATCAAAGATTTAAGCATTAGAGATAAAAACCCTTACTAGTTGCTATGTACAAAACTAACCTTTCTGTCCCTCTAGTGTTCAGTCTTAAAAAAATTAAAACCCTAGGAATTATGGCAAAATAAAACCTTTTTTAAGAAAATGTGCAAACAATTTTTAGGTATATGCAGAGAACAAAAGAATACCTAGGCAGCAATTAAATGTAGTCATAATGTACACATACAGATTAATTAAAAACATGATTTCATACCTCGACACTTTAGTCCCTTCTTATAAATTCCAAGTATCTAGGGGAAAAAAAATCACAATCTGTTAAAAAGTGCCACAATATCATGTAATTTCAGGTACTATCAATGACACTTTAATGGAAGTTTTGTTATGAGCAATAAATTCTTGAACAGTAAAACTATTGCTGTCTACAGTGGGATTGGACACCGGCAAGAAAAAAAAAAACTGTAGGCCAACCAAACTGTAGGCCTTCTGTGACCAACATGCTTCAGTTTTTGCTAGTGCCCTAAGAGGATAGATGTCTTTTCTTTAGCTCACCTGATTCAAGACCTAACCTGTTACTTCTTGAAATTTTCCCTCTTCAATCAAGATTCTACACACTACCACTGCAAGTGAAAACTCCAACTTTTCTTGCAGCTATCAAGTGCAGTTTTTCTAGCTTTGGCTGTCGGACCACACTGCAACTTCACTCTTTCGCATGCTGAGCCTGGAAGTGGCCTTTCAGCACTGGCCTCTGCTTGAGTACATTCCAGACTTTGTTCTTGTTTGTTAACTGCAGAACACTCTCCAGGTCTAGAACTGTGGCATCGCTGTTGTCATGCCCAGTCTCTGACAACTTACTCTTATGTGAGTAGGCTGTTTGGGCCAAGCACTTTGGGAGCTCCCTTAAGTTTATTAGTCGCTTAGGTGCCAAACTGTATACCCCTATGGAAGGGGTAACACTGTGGAGCAGAGTGCTGATGTCATTCTGTTGGGCAGAGTGTCGCATGTGTACTTTGCTCTCTCTCTTTTGTCCAGAGAGTGTTAGGGAAGCATCTCACTGCTGCTTCTCCTGATTAAGAGTCAGGTGGAACTCAAATCTTTGGTCTGCTCCTGCAACCCGCCTACAGTGACGTTTGGTCACCTTCACCCTAAGCCCACCCATCTTGAGCTTTGCTGCCAGCTGCCCGGGTTCCATGACTACATAAGGCCTTGCCTCCTTCCTTGAGCCTGTGTTTTGCTTACTGTTGTTGTGACCTCCACATGTCTGATCCTAGACATGGGGGATAGTCCTGCTGGAGAACCCCAGCACTCAGTCAAATAATGAGTCTGGTTCTGCCTGCAGCACACCACTTGAAAGTGGTGTGGCAGTGCATGGCAATGCCGCGGCGTAGTATGGCAACATTGGCACCCAGGACTCTCAGCCAAAGAGCTGAGAGGGTCCAGAATGTAAACACTGTTTTAAGGAAGAGCCTGGCTTTTCAGGTCCTTCCAGGTTTTCCTAAATGTAGCTGGGATTTGGAGCTCTGGAGATCTCTTAGAGCTCTGGGTGGGATGAGATCGCCAGTCCTGGGGCCAGGTGTTACCAATGACCAGCTAGGGCTGATCAAGTGGCTGAGAGCAGCCTTATTAGAAGCCAGCCCAGTGCCCAGAGAGGGAGTTGTGTGGGTGCAGGAAGCACAGAGCCACAGCAGACTCAGGTGCGTGCGGGACACGTGGAACAGCCAGGGAAGGCTGGGAGAGGTCCGGAAGGTCGGTGACCCTAGGACCACTGGGACACACTGCTGAGAGAGCAGAGAGGGCTCACGAGGGAAGCTATCTTGTGCAACAGGGGAGGTCTACCCTGTGGGTGGAACAAGATGTATGGTGTTTGCCCTTAATAAAACTGCATTTTACTTGCACCTGCGGTCTACAGTCAAGTGTACTTGTTACAAGTGGTGTCAGAAGTGGTATACACTGTTATACCGGCCATGCTCCCAAAGAGGCCTTGAAGGTACAGGACCCAGGAAAGTGGAAGAAGTTGAATGCAGTGAACTGACATTAAAAGGGCAGAGTGTGTAGAGACTGGAGTCTATGGAAAAGAAGTTCTGGTGAACTGTTTCTGTAGTTAAAACAGAGATTGCTTGCTGTGTAAAACGGGTGAGTCAAGGCCTGCAGGAGAAAAGCAAGTCCTTAAAGAGACAGTGCTCTAAAAGTGTGCCAAAGTGCAGTGGATTGTACAAAACCGATTGTCTGTCAGAATGAGGCGATCAAAAGAAAAGGACTTTTATGATAAAACGGTTGAAAGAGTTTGGTGGTCAACACCTGTGGGAGCTGTACAGGTGCCAGAAAATGCTGCACGAGGTTGTGAGTCTGCCGTGGACTGGCGCAAGCAGTATATGGCAACATTGACCCCAGCTTTTACAGTGGAGAAGCCCGTTTTGAAGGCCTGGAGAGAGCAAGGGGCTGAACAGATGCTCAGCAGGGGCACAGTTGTCACTAACAACATCGGTGAACGCAGGATTGCTGACCGCATGCCATGGAGGTCGCCTGCAGAGGAGTGGAGCCAAGCAAGGATGTCTGGATAGAGGATCCAGTACAACCAGAAGAGCTCCAGATCCCAGCTTCATTTAGGAAAACCTGGAAGGACCCGAAAAGCCAGGCTCTTCCTTAAAACAGTGTTTACATTCTGGACCCTCTCAGCCCCTTTGGCTGAGAGTCCTGGGTGCCAATGTTGTCATACTACGCCGCGGCATTGCCATGCACTGCCACAGTGGAGACAACCATAGTTGTGAATCTTGATTGTGATGGCTCCCTCATCAGAGTCCTCCATTACTCCTTCAGGCATACCTGCCTTCTTGCCCCCTTCCACCGAGGTGTTTTCCTCAGTCATGGAAAGTTTTAGGTCTCTTATTACCCAGCTGCTTTTTGACCCTGAATGTAGGGTCCAGGAATGTGCTACTGCACGTTCTCCAGCAGTGTCTGAATTTGACCAGCCTGTGGCCCTGGCTTCTTCTAAACACCCTAATCCCCACTTCGCCTCCCAAATTCTTACTTCACTCAGAGTCCTTACTGTCTCTGAGTGAAGAGCTTTCCCTTGAAGAGTCTCACTTCTCTGCTATTATAACCAAGCTAATAGAGGCTGTTTTTGGCTTTCACTGACATGGTAGGCACTACCCTGATGCTGGAGGATAAGCCTGATGCTACTACCAGCTCAGTTTTTGGCCTTGATTCCTTTAGAACCTTTAAGGCTTCCAAGATATTACCTTATCAATCTCTGTTAGATTTTTATATCTGTATGAGGACTAAACACACGCTGAACGGCTCTTTCCATCTCCGAAATTTTTGGTATTTCTTTACCCATTAAGTGAAGAAATTGTTCAGAAATGGTCCATCCCTATAGTGAATCCCACCCTAACAAGTTGACCACCATACTGGTGAAGGAGGCTTTTACTTTCAAGAACCCTACAGACAATAGTTTGGAAGCGCCTTAATGGACAACTTTAGTTGTGCTTGCTTGTGTGAACATTTCATAATAGATGAGAAGTCTACTTTCAATTTTAAAAAAAAGGGTACCCATCCTTCGGACTTTGACACGTAACCGTCAAATTAGGAACCTATGAACCATCTCCACAAGCATTAGGAAGAGGCTTCCTTCCTATTACTGAAATTGAATAATAGGGCAGAAGATGGCATTTACATGATGAGTAATACTGCCTCAGAGCTTCAGAAGTTCCACAGTATGGAGACTCTGCTGCCAGATGTCCTGACTTTTCAGTACAGCAATTGAAGAACACTGAATACTTTAAGAACCTTAGTTCTAAATAACACAGACTGTTAAAAAAGTGGACATATTTTACAATGGCAAGCAAGAAAACAATGTAAATTAGAGCAGATGTTACTTGTTGGCGATTGTAGCCTAAACACCAGCAAACCTCCTTCCTAACATGTCACTTAACTCATTTATTTTATATCATTCATACATTTTCATTTATCTCTTATTTACTGCCATTTTATATGCCTTTCTTTGTAGCAAAATATGTTGGATACAGTCTAAGTAGAGTAATAGTCATACACAAATCAAATAAAAATAAAACATTTTATTACAATAGATTGAATGTATACAATTACAAAGACAATAGTTTAGCAAAGATTCCCATGAATGTTTTGATTATATGTCCTGCCATACACACCAGATTTCCACAATGTTGACAAGATACAGGGCGCAGGAAGGTCCTTTCTGAAAAGTTGTGGACAAATCCCATTTTACAATCCAACACGGAGCTGGCTCTTAAAAAATATGACATCATCTCCTGCTTGCTGATTTTTCCATCCCTATAATACACAAAGATAAAACATTGTTTTTAGTTTTACATAGTATTTGAGGTTGAATAAAGACATTAGTCCATCAAGTCCAACCTATTAGGATCTCATTCTAGGAGTACCTGTACCCCTGTATATTACGATCCCTTAAGAAATCGTCCAAAAGTTTCTTGAACAATTCCACATTATTTGCTGAAATCACCGCCTGTGGCAGTGAGTTCCAGACCCTAACTGATCTTACTGTGAAGAACCCCCTTCGCCCCTTGTGCTGGAATTTTTTTTCCACCAATTTTAGGTGGTGGCCTCTAGTCTTTGTAATGGAGTTAATTTTAAACAGTTTATCGCTAATGTTGCTACCACCATTGAACATCTTGTACATGGAAATCATATCCCCCCTTAATCTCCTCACTTCTAATGTGAACATGTTTAAATTTAGTAGCCTATGTTTAAATTTAAATGTTTGAATCTGCGCTTAATGGATAATCTAAGATGTCAATTGAAAGCTGCTGCACTATAGACAACTACGTCCAGATGAATGTTTTACCAAATATACAGCGCTAACAATTCAATTAGAAAGGATTGGATCTATATCTGTGATGACCTATTAAAGTGTGCACACCATCTCATCCTCCATATACAAATCTAATATCCGTGATATGATTATAACCCAATAAAAAATATATAAATAAATAATCAATTCGCGGAGGCCGCTCTATAAATTAGATGCTAACCTCGTGCAAAAAATTACAGTTTGTGCCAGAAAGAAAATAGTACTAGACCCAATCTTTCTGGCACAAACTGTCCTAATTTGCACAAGGTTAGCATCTAAGTTATAGAGCGGCCTCCATGAATTGATTATTTGTTTATTTATATATTTTTTATTGGTTTATAATCATATCACGGATATTAGATTTGTATATGGAATATGAGATGGTATGCACACTTTAATAGGTCATCACAGATATAGATCCAATCCTTTCTAATTGAATTATTAGCACTGTATATTTGGTAAAACAAAGATAAAACATTATTGCAGAACAGGAGACAAAAGCTATGGAACAGAAGATTTACATTTAACCAAGTATGATACTTTGGAAATACAGCAAACATAACACAATGCTATATAGACACAGAGGCAACAAAGCCAGTATAAAAATAGAATTTCTAGCTCTGCAATGAATGTACAAACAAAGCCAAACCATATTAAGAGAAGTACTTTTGTTAAGGGCACAGGAAAAACACGGTCATGTTGGCTAAATTGACATTCTTTTTAGGAGAGAAAAAAAAGAAAAACTGGAAGTCTTCCTTATTGCAAACATACTACTTTTACAAAAAATAATAATAATTTTTAAAGTAGCACATTTTTATAACCAGATAATCAGCATTGCACCTCACTTTCTCTACAAACTAATAATCATTTTACTATATGTAGTACATACTGCACACCACTGCAAATACAGTCAATTATGTAACTAAAGCTAAAACAGCCTAAGTGAATACTGTAGAAGTTAAATGCAGAGTGGGGCATGATCCATGTATATATTTTGTTCAAGAGACATAGCAAAAGGTTAGTGGAGATCTCTGAAAAGCAACGGGATATCCTCTTCTTCACCAGAACAGGTGAAATTAAAAAAAGATTAGTTCCCTCCCCCAGTGAAAGGCTGCTCTGATTGCAGTTTCAGGGGTTAAGAAGCACAGACATTCCTGTGCATTGATCTATCCACTGATCTGGTATTATTCCGGTTGATCACACAACAAAAGCTACTTTTTAGTACACAGTACAGGCTCAGTACAATATCATCTTATGAAGAGGAAGATACATATTTAAATAGCCCTGTCTAAATATGTGTAGAATGCTGGATGCCTGGCTTAATCCTCCAAGTGTTCAATAACAGTGACCACCAGTATTAAAGCGGACCTTTACCCTTATCTTTAAAATAACAATAAACACACCTTTAGAAATGTTGAGTAATGACAATCTACAAAACACATACTTCTAGATAATTGCAGGCTTTGTATTCTTTGCATACCTTATTTCTATTTGCTTCCCCAGTTTTCTGACCGTGCCCATGTTTATTAAGGGCAGATTACCAGATTACTTCCTTGATTTCTGGCACATGTGACGATGCACATCATCTCAGGGGAGGAAAATGCCTTTCCCTGAGACCTTGTGAGATTACAGATGAGATTTACCAGCAATGCTCTGCTGATGACAAGGCAATCCCAGTGTGCACTGCATAGGCAAACTGAAGTAATTTGCACTTTCAAAGCAGGATATGAATGCTTTGCAAGTGTAAGTTTTTCAAAATCACAGCATTTTACACCTGACTTGTCTATGTTATTATTAATCATCATACATAGAGGGACGCATTGGTAGAATTTGATTTTTGAGTGTAAAGGTCCACTTTAAGGAACAAATATAGGAGCCATATGAGGGTGCATTATATGCCACCTACCTTTGACCAAAAGGTGTAAGGGGTATAAATATAGGTATATTATATGCTGCCCAGCTCTAGCCACAACTGTTAATGTGGTGTATGAATGCATTATAGGCCACCTGCCATTGATGGCAGTCCCATCAAAATTTTACTAAGGGACCCTGTGATTTCTAGTTATGAAACTGGTTGCTGTGCAACAGTTGTGGACACCACTCACTTTTATTATCTTTTTAATAAAGCTTTACTAATTGGAAACTGGAAAAAGAAGGGTTAGAGATTAAAGGTGATCCAGATAACTCCAAAACTGCGCATTTAGGGGTTCCAGAAAGACATCTGTGGTCACATCAAAGTATAGCCCAAGGAGCTTCTACAAAGATACCTTACTATTTTGCTACACCTGTATCTATGTGGACAACACCCACTCCCTGACACTTAACAAAGCAAGTCCCAAAAACCTATGCCATCTGATCTCACCACGTACTTGATAACTGCAGCATGGGATTGTCTTAGCAATCACTGACAGGCCTCTTCCTGGCTAGGAAAACTTATTGTCTTCCCAGAACCTTCTGTTTATCCTTGGTTGAACATACCAGGCTGAAAATAACAACTTATGAACACCACATCAATGACTGATGCATGGCAAGATTAATCAAATATTTACTTATCACATTTATTCTGAAGCCTTTCTGGTGCTTGCAGATCAGATTTGGTTGATTACACTTAGTTTGGTACAGCAGCACTTGCTTCATCTTGAATATTAAGAGATTATTTCATTGTGTCTAACATGTTTGCTACAATTATATCACTAATAAGTCATTAGTAAAGACTAAAAAATAGTTGTAAAGACAGGTGTTGTGCTACCTTTTAAGGTACAAGTTAATTATATTAAATATAGGTTATGAAGTTTGGTAGTAAAATAGATTATTTTAACATGGCTTATAGACTTCACTGACCTCTTAAAATGTGTAATTTTAAAATGTTAATATTCTAATTTCGTGCTGACCTTATTTATAACCTAATATTCATATCTTTGCAGAATGAACTACCATAAGTACACAATAAGAATAATGTTTTATTAACATAAAGGATACTTCTCACATTGCCTGTGGCATGTCCAAGTTGCAGGAAACACAGGCACACTTTCCAGATGTCAAAGTATGCTTAAACTTACTGATTTTGATCTATCTCATCGAATGCACAGAGGTAAGGGAAGTTACTGCGAACAGCTTGAAACTCCTCCTGCGAGATGTGACCATCACCATCTTCGTCAAAAAGTCTAAACACAGACTGTAGACAATCAAATACATCATTCAGTTGCCAAGAAAGTCAGTATTGCTAACCAATTTTTTTCAGATCACATAATTACCATTTCTAACAGATCAGAACTGAACAATAGAGTGGGTAAATTGTATGGATTCAAGTGGTGGAATTTGGACTGGGAAATAAATGTCCATTGTACACCACGCCTAAATGGAATCCTTAGTTTGATCGTAGTTTATAGTGGCATAGTTCTCTTCATGGTCACAGGAGGACATACAGTATACTAATGTCCTTCAGTGACCCAAAACTCAGAATATATTGGGCTATTGCCTGCCTTATGCTGAGGGTGCAAAGCCGTGCCGCAGCCAGAATAGATCCTGACAATATTGTCGGGATTCATCCCGCTGGTTGATTGACAGCTGGCTCTGCCTCTCTAGAGGCAGAGCCAGCTATGCTCTACCTGTCCATTCCTCCAGTCAGCGCTGAAGAAACAGAGAGGGGAGGGGGGAATCACTGCAGGGAGAGGATCAGGAACTCAGCGATCAGTGGTATGTGTTCGCTGAGTTCCCGATCAACAGCTTCAGTGTCACATGTCTGCTTCAATTATGGGGAAGTATGTATTTCAGTCACCCCATAATTCTTTAATACAAATCTGTAGTCATTAATATACTGTGACAGGGTACACGACTCTGTGTATGTCAGTGAGAGGTTGAAAAGGGCAGCTTTCCCTGGCTAGGAAAGGGTTAAGCCTGGCCCCAAAGGTAAACCTCCTCTCTTTCTCTCTCTCTATTAATTAGCCTGCACCTGATAGTGACTGGGAGGGAGTGAGAGCTCAGAGTGAGATCCAGGCTGCACTGGATGGACACAGACTGGAGAGTGTCTGCATATCTGGGGAATAAGGTCTGTCAGAACAATTGTTTGTATTGGACTGTGGTTTTTGTCCATTTATACTGGAAGCTGGAATAGCCGCTCCAGTAGGACGTAGTGAGGGACACTACTGTTTAGTTAGCCTCCTAAGGTGGAGTAGGCCTTTTTATTTGTGTTACTTTTTCGTTGGATGCAATAAAGCTGCATTTATTGCCATTACTGTTTAAAGACCAGTGATTTTCCTACAATACATTAATGCAGCTTTGGTTTTCTTAACGCACTCATTAAATGTATATTTAAAATGCAAGCAGTTTAAGTGCCTGAAAGTCTCCGTCTCCACTGCAGAGCAAAGCCCACCCTGGCACATGGAAAAGCAGCACAAGGAGACAATTATTTGTGCTGCAGAGCTCATACCCTAACAAGTAACATGCTGATAGCGAGAGAGAGAGAGAGCGAGAGCGAGAGAGAGTGAGCGAGAGAGAGAGAGAGAATGATATGGGCTCATTAGTGAGCAGCTTCTCCTTTTTTTTATCCATTCACAGCCTGGGAAAGGGACAAGTCTTGGGCTTTATGGGTTGTGCTGGTCTTTCTTTTTGATTTATTATTCATTGGTAACAAATACTGTATGCAACTAATTAAAATGTGTTAAGCCTCAGTTTATAAATGTATTGGAGAGACCCTGCCTTAAGCTGCAGTTTCCCTAGTCTGAATTAGGTGTTTGCAGCTAGGCTTTAGTCAAGCTGAGGTTTGTTTATGTTATCTGGGCTCATTAGATCTCTCCCCAAGGACTTTGTTTGCTTCTGCATGCTACTGTTGAATGTTCTCAAGGAAGGCAGATGGCGAAGATACAATGGGGTGAATTTATCGAAACCGCAGCAGACATAATCTGGAACAGTTGCCCATGACAAGCCTAGCCTAGTAGATCTGCCACTGACTCCAAGTTGTAGAGAGACTACAAATTTTAGCAATACAATATACAGCAATGCAGAATACTACCAATTATAGAGGACTACAAATCCCAGCACTAAATTGCACAACAATGCAGAATACCACCTACTATAGAGGACTGCAAATCCCAGTAATGCATTACACAGCAATGCAGAACACCACCAGCTATAGAGGACTACAAATCCCAGTAATACATTATAAAGCAATGCAGAATGGCACCGGCTACAGAGGACTTTTCAAATCCCAGCAATATATTGTGAAAAACACTACAGAATAATACCATCAACTATAGAGGACTACAAATCCCAGCAATACTATATACAGAAATACAGAATAGTAAGAAGCTACAAACTCTGTGTTGCTCGGGGTTCATGGCCTGACGTCTCCAAGGTCTCAGGAGGGCTGTGCGGAGGTTTCAGGGGGGGCTGTGTAGGCTCTCAGGAGGCTGTTCAGGCTCCAAAGGGGGCCAAGTGCAGGCTCTCTGGTGGTCAGTGGGACTCTGGCAGTCAGTACAAGCTCTTAGTGGTCAGTGCGGGCTCTGGGTGGTCAGTGCGGGCTCTGGGTGGTCAGTGCGGGCTCTGGGCGGTTAGTGCGGGCTCTGGGCGGTTAGTGCGGGCTCCGGGCGGTTAGTGCGGGCTACGGGCGGTTAGTGCGGGCTCC